TGTGCGTTGGGGCTGTCTGCTGTGCAGCGTGTCTCTTCTCTCCTCCCTGCAGACCCCAGCTGTTGAGGCGATATTGAATGATGGCGACGGTGCGCCGCTTTGTGTGGGTGCTGGCCGCTGCTCTGTGCTGCACGGCCTTGTGCGTGACTGGTGGTGGTGTCCCTGGGCTTCCCACAGATGTTGCGGCGGAGGAGTCGAGGGTAAGTGCACTTCTGGAATCCGTAACGAGAGCCAGCGATGCTGTGACGGATTCGACAAAAAGATTGAATGAGGCTGAGAAGGGAGTGGAGAAGGCCCAGGCATTATTTGCTAAAGCCAATGGCGAAGCAGAAGTGGAGAGAAAGAATCTGGAGAAGGCTGAGGCTGTGGTACTTGAGTTTGAGAGCGCACTGGGTGCGGCTGCTGAAGGAGTGAAGACTGAAGAGAAGAAGAAGGCCACAGCTGAGGAGGAAGTGCGGAGGGCTGATGAGAGGAAGAATGTTGCTCAGGGAAAATTGGATACCCAGAATGCGTTGGTCATGGATGCGCAGGCGAAAAGTCTCGTGGATACGAAGAATGCTGAAGCGGCGTTGAGCGAAGCCAAGAATGCAGCACAGGAGGCCCGCACCAAACTGGACGAAGCTGATGCTGCAGCGGAGAACGCGAAGAGGGAAAAAACAGCAGCGACAGGTGTAGCACGAAATGCCAACGGTGCCATAGAGCGCGCCCATACTGCAGCAGAGAGTGCCAGAGAGATCTTGAAGACGGTATCAAGTGCAACGGAGGTGTTTTTGCGTGTTGCTGGTGACGCGGAGAAGGCTGAAGGGAACGTCAAGGAGGCAGCGCTGGCGGCAGAGAAGGTGGCGGAGCTGGCTGATGCAGCAGCGGATGAATATTTCCGTTCATCGGGTGACACAATACCCGAAGAAAAAGTTGCCATCGTCCTGCAGTCTGCTGAAAATGCAAGGACGAAGATGACTGAGTCAGTTGATGTGGTTCACAATGCCAAAAGCGACGCTGAGAAAGGGATTGCAATGCTTAATGGATTCGAAGAAGCTGCCAATCGTGCACTTGAGAATGCTAGAGCGGCCGAGGCATTCTGCAGTGATGCGGAAAGAATTTCTGCAGAGGAAATGGCGAACGGTGCCAAGGGTGAAACAAAGAAGAAGGCTGCGGAGGCAGCGAAGCGGGCAAGAACAGCAGCGGATCTTCTCCTTATGACTCTGAATAATCTTGCGGAAGCAAGGGGCTATGCCACTACAGCAACGCGGGACGCTCAGATCGTAGTGCGCGACGCTGGGTATGTGAAAAGTAAAATTGAGAGGGTTATAGGCGATTTAAGAACTCAGCCGACTCAATACATGAAGGATGCAGCAAGTGGTGCTCTTCAGGCAGCAAAGGACGCTAGGAACCTGGAGAAACAAACACAAAAGCTGGCGTCGAGTGGTAAGGACGCATCAGGGAAGACTTCTTTGGCGGCTGCACATGCTGGAAAAACAGCAACTGCCTTAGTCGAGGCGAAGACATTTGCTGAAGAGGTGAATCAGCATGCTGGGGTGATAAAAGCAGCGGCTGCAGCTGCGCTTGCAGATGCTGAAAGGCAGAAGCAAGTCGCCACTGAAGCACTGAGTAAAGCCGAAAAGGACAAGGCAAGCGCTTCGGCGGCGCTGGAGACGGCGACGGAACAGGAGGCTGCTGCTAAGACTGCGCTGCAGGAGGCCCAAGAGGAAAACAAAGCCGCGCAGGATGAACTGGAAAAGGCCCAAAGCAACAGGGACTCTGCCGTGACGGCGTTGGATACAGCCACGCAAAAGAAGACTGCCGCTGAGCGGGAGCTGCAAGAGGCACAGAAGAAGACGGTGGCCGCTGAACAGGCGTTGGCAACAGCCGTGAGAGGGAGGTCCGCTGCTGCTGAAGCACTGGCAGCATCGAAGGAACGGAAAACAGCCGCTGAGCGAGCGCTGGCAGCAGCAGTGAAAGAGAGGAAAACTGCTGAAAAAGCCCTGAGGGAAGCCGAAGAAGAAAAAGAAGCTGCCGAAAAAACACAGAAAGAGGCACAGGAGAGGGAAGTGGTGACTGAACAGGCGCTGGCAACGGCGGAGGAGAAGGAACGACGGCGTGTCTCCGTTGATGCCCCGAAGCAGCTGCAGCAGATGAAGCCTCCTGCCCCTACTCCCGATCCTGTCTCCACGCCTGGGATGGCTAGCGATACCTCCACTAATGCGGTTGACGGTCTCCCCGCTGCTCCTTCACATGGCGCACCACAGGCGAGGCTTGAGGGTCCCTTGGCCTCTCCGGTGGAGCAGTTGAATGAAAGTGCCGCCGGTGCTTCTGCTGCTGCTTCTGTGCCGACACGTGATGAGGACCGATCTCGACCGGGAGCTTCGATGAGTGCCCAGCCGGGGACGGAGCCGGTGCAGGCTACAGACAGCGCTGATGAGAGTGCCGTGGAGCAAGCAGAGTCAGTGATGGAACCTGCAGTGCCTGCACGTGTTACGGATGTGCAGGAGGGGCAACCAGTTGTAGGTGGCGTGGTTCCCGCCCCTGCGGGTGCACTGAAGAGCGACTTGGGCGGGATGCTGCAGGAGGCCGGCGGCCTGGACAGCAGCGACAACCCTGTGTGGCTTCGCACACCGCTGCTGCTGCTGCTGCTGCTTCTGGGTGCCGTGGCCTGTCTGGGAGCGTACTGAGCGGGGAGCGCACGGTGAGATGATGCTCCCCACTTAATTGTGTGCGCTCTAAACGGTGGGGCACACCTGTGTGGTATAATTGTTTTGCTTTCGTTTCCTTGCTGCCCCACTGTGGGCCTGGCGCCGCTCCATTAAACCTCGACGGTACATTCACTGTGCTCGATACCGTCGTTGGGAGGCGTCACTCCCCCTGTTTCTCTTGCGTGGGCGTTGCTTGGCGCATGACTGTGTGCCGTCCACTATGCCGCTCCCTCTTTAAATGATTCTTTTATATGCTTTGCACACACTTTTGCCTTCTGCCCCCTTGCTGTGTGTGGGTCCCGCACACGAGACGCATAGAGACAGGCTCGCTTGCTTGCGGCCATGCGTGTGCACATTCGCACGGGGAGCCACCACGACTGCGTGGATTATCTTTTCTGTTAAACATGGGATTGGTGGGGATTTGTTTCCTGCAGGGTCTGTGCTTTCCCCACCAACCGGTTTCTTCCTTAATTTGCTGTTTATAATTTGTGCGGATCATCGTGTGTGGTGCGCAGACTGAGCTGCTGCTTCTCTCCCCTCCATTCCGCGCGTACTACCCCTTTTGTGTGTCTCTTTTCTCCTCCCTGCAGACCCCAGCTGCTGAAGCGATATTGAATGATGGCGACGGTGCGCCGCGTTGTGTGGGTGCTGGCCGCTGCTCTGTGCTGCACGACCCTGGGCGTGACGGCTGCTGCTGAGAGCGCTGTGCTTCCCGCTGTTGGTACTAGGGAGGCAGCGCAGGCGAAGGTGGAGGCCTTTGCTAAAGATGTGTCAAAAGCCGGGGATGTACTGCGCCTTGCTGAGGAGGCTTATTCCAGAGCTGGAGAGGCAAAGAGTATGGTCGATAATTTCGTGCAGAAGGCGACCAAAGCAAAGAAGAATGCCGAAACAGCAGAGAGTATGGTAAAGGAGACAGTGACAAGTATTACCAAAGGAGAGAGTGAACTGAAGAAGGTTGCGGAGTTGAATATTGCTTCAGGTCAGGCAGTGCCATTTGATGTGAAGGATCTCACGGCTGGTGCTGAGGATGCAAAAACTGCGGTGGAAAAGGCCACGAGTGCTGCGGGAAATGCCACTGAGGCGAAGAAGTTACTCGTGGAGGCGATGGACCATGCAAAGAAAGTACTGGACCGCGCAAAGAAGTTGAAGGAACTGCCAGCAGAAGCAAATCCGAAGAGCGCCCTGGATTTTTTGAACGGCATCCAGGAGGCGAAAAAAATAGTTGTTGCAACGCCGCCGAAACCCCCTGCAGTAAAAGTGACATTTGAGAATGAAAACTTTGTTGCTGTACTTCTTGTTCTAAGTGGCCAAATGGCTGTGGAGCAGATTGAGCAGGCACTGACGAGTATCAATAAAGCAGTAACTCATGCTTCAGACGCTAAAGATAATGCTGCCAACGCAGAAAAGTCTTTGAAAACCCTTGTGAACACAGAAGGAAAAGTAACCATAACCGAGGAGGGCAAGCAGTTTGCGAAAAAGGCAAATAAAGCTGCCGGAGGTGCAATGACGAACGCAAAGACAGCAGAAACGAGTGCTAACCAAGCCGTTCAGAGTATTGATAATGCAGTGACAGCAGCCGAGCAGGTGAAGAAACATTCAGACACAGCGTTAGACCCCGCTAAAGCGGCAGTCGACGCGGCTAAGAAAGCGAAGGCCAAGGCGGATGCTGCGCTGGCCGATGCAAGGAAAGAGTTGAAGAAATTCCCCAAGAAAGTGGAGAAGCCTGAGACGCAGCTACCCAAGGCGGAGGAACCGTCCACTGACCACAAATCCAGCCAGGCAGAAGTCACTGGACCCCTGCCGACGGACCAACCTGCCAAGACGCAGGAAAAAGTCAGTGGGACTGCAGGCGGATCTAACATTGGGGTGAAAGACGGCAGCGA